GTGCTTTATCAACTACAACTTCGTAGATGATCGCACGACAAAGTTCGGAGGGTAGTTTGCATATGGGGTCGAAACGAGGGTTCGGCTCCAGCTGCCATAAATTTTCCATTAAATTATTATATTGTCGTTCGAGTTTTTGTAACATTTCATGCTTTTCGTCCAGGAGAGGGCGTCTTTCGAAGTTCTTGATCTTTGTAAGAATGTTTAGACGCTCGGCTTGTAGAGCGTTCCTTTCCATGACCGAATTAATTATATATGGGGGACTATCCAGGGAGAAAAGGATAAAGTGACTCGAGTAGGTTGAGGATCAAAATATTACATTGCGAGCCGTTCCTGTTTGCCAGAAGTACTGGCGAAGGCGCGGAACGCGCCGCCTGAGATGGTTGAAATCAAGGGACAGATGGTGCGTGTCAATTACGCGTTATGCCGCCGCGGTTTCTTCATGAATGTGGGGTAGGGATCGAAACGGGAGAAGCTGGCTAACCCTTGTTGATGAAACGTACGATCAGCAAAGAGACTTTTACGACCAGAACTAGTAGGAGGAATAGAAGAAAATAAATGCCCAAATTAAAAAAGGTATGGCGTGATAGGTACACAAGCCTCCTAATACATCAATACATGCAAAAAAGGGATCACACAAGTGACCAAGAAAGATTAGATTCGGGGATTGTTGACTGCTCCAAGTGGTTGTTGTTGTTGGGCACCCGCGCCGCCAGCTGCTGCCGCTGCAGCGGTGCCAGAGCCACCACCCGACCCTCTCAGGATGCTATTCCTCGCTTGCAACGCCTTTAACCGCTCCTTCTCTTGCTCTTCCTTCTCCAAGCGATCAAGTTCCTTGGCTCGTTCAGCAGCCGCATCATATACATAGTACACAGTCCTGGTGGGCGTCTCCGCATCGACGGGGATGGTAGAGCGGTAGAATGCTTCCTCGAGCTCTTCCTCTTCTCTTCGTTCTATAAATAAATTTGTCAGCTGCTATAATATACAAAAAGCTGAGATATCAGACGTACCAAGTTCTTCCTCATCAGGAGGTGCCTCGACCTCTGCTCTTCTCTTGCCTAAAGCCTTGGCACTTGGTCTAATTGGCGTCATGAGATTCTCTTCATCACTCGAGTACCTATGTGCAGCATCTGTATCGATCCTCATACCCGCAACATTATGCGTTCCTCCCAAGCCAGGAGGTGCACCGCCGGGTACAGGCGACTCTGTCCTATTACCACTTCTGAGAGAATCATATCGTGCACCCCCTGCACCTCCTCGTTGACCATGCTGTGGTGGCGGGTGGGACGGTGGACCGTACTCCATAAGAGGGGGCGAAGTTGTACCAGGCACCGTACCACTGACGACACCTGGCCGATCTGGAGACGGGGTTCGCGAACGGTTGTTCGAAGGGGGGTGTCGTGGCCCGTGAGGTGCTGCCGGCGGTAAATTGAGGGTAGCAGTATTGTAATTGTTGATCGAGTGGGTAGACGAATGATGCTGATGATGATAAGGTGGGCCTTGTTGTTGAGAAGCTGGGGCTCCTGGTTGTTGTTGCGGAGGATAGTTTATTGGAGCATTCGGGGTGATCGGCGTTGCACCGGGTGTGACCAAATGCTCTCCAGACATGTGAGGAGGAAGAGGGAGGTCCCTTCCTCCAGCTCCCTTGGCAGCAGCAGTGTTTGACGCAACGGTAGGTACGGTCGTCCCGGATATACTGCGTGTAGAGGCAGGTATAGCGGGAGACGGCGAACGGGACGAGGAGCCAGCATTGACTGCAGCTGGGGCGTCTACAACTGAGCCATCTGGTTTGATCAGATGGATTTGCTAAAAAGAAATCAAATTGAGCCATTCTCATTCCATTTAGACGCTCTGAACAAGCTTACCGTGCGATCCATCCTGGTATCTGTCATACTCCTCTTCGCAATTTCGCGCTCCTCCTTTTCAGTGCGCGCCATTTGTTCCAACTGTTCATACTCTTTGAATACCTCCATCAACTCTGTACTAGCAGACAACAGCGCGGCCAACAGTCTCTCTTCTTTGGTCAAGTCGTCCGATCCATTGTTTCGACCCTCTCGACCGGGCTTGGCTTGCCTAGTCAATCTATTGGGACCATTGTCACTGCCCGAATCTTTGGCTGCCTTCTCGGCAGCTAACCGCGAACGCTCAGCTCCCGCACTAGCCCATGCGATTTGCGCCATGATAAGTTCTTGAGACGCACGGCACTTGTTGTAGAATTCCTAGAGAAAGGAGCCATTAGCGTCATTGTCTTGAAGAGAATGACGGATCATAACATGAAATAGTTCTCACTTGGATGACAGGATCCGAGGAAAAGTTGGCTGGAGTAGCAAATGGTAAGGCTCCAGAGAGTACTTGGGCATTGTTCTTGGCGACGTCGCATTCTTGGAACAACCTGCGAATATCCTCTTCGGGTGGTATAATTCCACGGTCCTTGCGAGGCGGAGCCTGAGGCGTATCTATATCC